CCTCCAATATCATCATCATCATCATCATCATCATCACCATTTATGATACTCATTGATGAGCAGCTCCTGCGTACCAGACACTCTATGTGGCTCTGTGATATAGATATACTCATTTCCGTTTTACAGATGAAGAATCGGAGGCTGAGAGATCACCCAGATCTGTACCTATCACTACACTTTCCCCTACTAAACCTGTCCTGGGGGCACCTGGGGGGCTCAGCGGTTGAGCATCTGCCTTTGGCTCAGGTCATGATCCTAGGGATCAAGTCCCACATCAGGTTCCCTTTGGAAAGCCTGCTTCTCCCTCTGCCTGTGTCTCTGCCTCTCTCTGTGTCTCTCATGCATAAATAAATAAAATCTTTAAAAACATAAATAAACCCACCCTGGGACTGTCTCGAAGCCTAAAATTCGTACTATTAGGACCTTCTGTATCCTAAAGCTGGGGAAGAACAGCTCTGAGTCCGAAAAGTACATGTATGGAGACATAGGCTTCGTTCAAGAGTTCATTCGAAGTCACCTTGGCTGAAATTCATGATTTCCATAAAATAAGAGATAACCAGTCTAAAGATGGTATTGGCCAGCCCTGCTAAGGGACCTGATGTACGTCGTAGGCTTCCTCTGCAATGATTAGAATCCGGTTCCTTCAGATTCCCCCAAGGAGAAACTGAGGCAAAGAGGGTTTAGGAGACCAGAGTTCTAGTCACCTGACTTGCGCGTGAACTCGGGCAGTGGCCCCATCTGTACTGTAAGTATGAGTTGGATGGGAAGTCTTCCCCCAGCTCTGGAGGTCTGAAACTCTGTATGTAAGTCACTGTGGGAAAGGCCAGAGTCTGGCCATTTGGGGAAGAGAGGCCCCCTGGAAACCTTTGGGCCTGACCAACCAACCTGGGTCTAGAAGCTGTGGTTTGTCCCGCTAAGGTCTAAGGTCTTAGAGATTCAGCAGCTCTCTTCCCTTACACGCTTGGGTTTTTGTTTTGTTTTTTAAGATTTTACTTATTTATTTATGTGTGTGAGAGAGAGAGATAGTGAGAGAGAGAGGCATTGGGGAGGGGCAGAGGAGACGTCGACTCACTGCATAGCAGGGAGCCCTACACAGAGCTGGATCCCAGGACCCTGGCATTATGGCCTGAGCCAAACCCAGGCGCCCATTCCCTCACATGTTTGAAGTGCCGCCCTAGAGATGTCACAAGGTGGGACTCCAACCTCCGTGCGCCGCTCAGCCCTGTGTCCCAGTGAGCAGGCTCCATTGTACACAGCTGTTCCTTCTAGTTGGCTTACCCCAGCCAGGCAACCCTTGGCCCTTCCTACCTTCCTGTCTCCTTTCCTTCCCTCCCTCCCTCCCTCCCTCCCTCCCTCCCTCCCTCCCTCCACTTTCTATAGAAGGGCGGGGGTGACCATGCTGCTCTCAGCCCTCCCCCACGGGCCTCCCTGCCCCAGCTCAGCCTCTCTCGGGAAGGCTCATTCTTTTGGTGTGTGTATGTGTGTGTGTGTGTACAGTTATCTTTTAAAACTGTGGTAAAGGGGATCCCTGGGTGACTCAGCAGTTGAGTGTCTGCCTTCGGCCCAGGGCGTGATCCTGGAGTCCAGGGATAGAGTCCCACTTCGTTGGGCTCCCTGCGTGGAGCCTGCTTCTCCCTCTGCCTGTGCCTCTGCCTCTCTCTGTGTCTCTGTGTGTCTCTCATGAATAAATAAATAAAATCTTTAAAAAAAAATAAAACTGTGGCAAAATATACACAACGTAAAATATACCATCTTAATCGCCTCTATGCCTGTAGCTCAGCGGTGTTAGGTACGTTCACATTATGGCGCAACCCCTCTCCAGCGCCCTTCTCCTCCCATAAAACTGAAACTCTACACCCATTAAATAACAACTCCCCATTCTTTCCTCCCTCCAGCCCCTGGCAACCACTCTTCTACTCTCCTGGCTCTCTGAGTGACTGCTCTAGGCACCTCGTCTAAGTGGAGTCCCGCAGTATTTGTCCCTTTGTGACCAGCTTATTTCATTCTGGGGCATTCTGTCCCTGGCCCGGCCTGCCCTGTGTCCCCTCCCCTGCCTTTGCTGGTACTCTTGCCTCTGCCCCAAAGGCCCAGCCACACCTGTTGTCACCCTGTGCATCCTGCTGGAGGCTCAAAGCCTCCTCCTCTGTAACTGGGGCAGTGACTCCCTCCTGTGCCCCACTCTGTGCCATCCTCTTCTGTCTCAAATGATGACTTACCATACTGGATGGAATAGAACTTCAGGGGTCATGTCTGTGTGTCCAGGCCAGAGCCGAGCAAAGGATAGGTACCGAGGGGACCATTAAAGAATTATTGAATGAACGAATGAATGAATGAATGAATGAGTAGATGGACAAACCCAATCCAGCTTTTACTTGCACACAAAAGAGTAAGAAATGGTTCTTTGGGGCACCTGGGTGGCTCAGCGGTTGAGTGTCTGCCTTGGGCTCAGGTTGTGATCCTGGGGTCCTGGGGTCGAGTCCCACATGGGGCTCCCTGCATGTCTCTCAGGAATAAATGAATAAAATCTTAAAAAAGAAAAGAAAAGGTTCTTTGTTGACTTCAACTGGATTCCAGCAGAGAGAAGCAAAGACCATTTTGGGCTTTTGACTCATACTTGGACTTAGATGCATCCTGGTGCAGGCTGGTGCCCAGGTAAGGGCCAGGTAAGTGACAGGGCAGGAGGTAGTGGTTCCTTTTTTTTTTTTCTTCTTTTTTTCATAAAGATTTTCTTTTCTTTCTTTCTTATTTTCTTTTCTTTTCTTTTTTTTTTATTCATAAGAGACAGAGACAGAGAGAGAAGTGCAGAGACACAGGAAGAGGGAGAAGCAGGCTCCATGCAGGGAGCCCGATGGGGGACGCGATCCCAAGTCTCCAGGATCAAGCCCTGGGCTGAAGGTGGCGCTAAACCATGGAGCCACCCGGGCTGCCCTCATAAAGATTTTCTTAAAAGATTTATTTATTTATTATAGAGAGAAGAAGCAGAGGGGCAGAGGGAGGGGGAGAAGGTGAGAAGCAGACTCCCTCTGAGCACAGAGCTCCACATGGGGTTCGATCCCACAAGCCCCAAGATCATGACCTGAGCCAAAATTGAGAGTTGGATGCTTAACCAACTGAGCCGCCCGGGCAGCCCAGGAGGTCGCGGTTCCTAATTCTCAGACTTCTCTGGGCCTGGCCTCTGTTCCACAGAGGAAGTCTGGAAACCTCAGAGAATTTCCAGAGGTCAGGGCTGGCTAGCACCCCCATTTCACAGATGGAAAAACTGAGCCCGGGTAGCAGATCAGGACCAGCTCCCTCCTCTCTTCCCAGGATTCCCTCTACGCCCATCTGCCTCCCTGACTCAGCCTTCTGTGGTTTTCAAAAGATTTAAACTGCAGGCAGAGGCCTGGCTCCCGCAGAAGGACAGGAAGGAGCAGGGTGTGGGTGAGGAGGGGGCAGCGTTGCTGAGGTCCAGGCCTCCCTCCTGGGCCCCAGCACACGAGGCCGTGGTGAAGCCCTCCAGTGTCCTTTGTTCCCTGGAAGAGTGGCCGCTCAGAGGCTGCTGGCTTTGTCTGGAAGAGCCTGGCCTGTGATCAGCCCCTCCCAGCGGCCCCTTCCCGCTTCCCACAAGGGCTCCTTTCAGCCTCCTCTGTTGACACCTGTGGGCTCTCAGACCCCCGTCCTCACCCCCAAGGAACCATCTTCAGCTTCTCTTGCTCCCTGCAACCTTCCTGGTGTCTGCTCAGAGCTGAGTCCTCCCAGCAGGGACATCTGAGAGTTCCTGGCTCTACCATCCTCTTCTACAGATGGGGAAGCAGAGCCTCAGAGAGATCACAGAGGGGAGTGAAGGGAAGGACCTGGACCTCAGGCCTCCGGATTTCCCGGCCAGTGGGGTGGTCTCAGCACCCAGCCTCCCCCAGCAGCCTCTCCCCTCCTGCCCCTGCCCCCTCCACCCCCCTGGCCCGAGGGGAACCATCCCAGGCCCACACCCCACTCCTTTCAAGTCCACAGCACCAGAAGCCTACAGGGTGATAAGATCATAGACTCAGCACTGGTCAAGCGAAGCATCGCAGCAGCCTCTTTCCATCACCCAGATTGGAAAACAGGCCCAGAGCAGGACAGGGCCTCTTTGTGGCCACATTAGAAGTCTGGTTTCTTCCCTCCCTTGATAGTGGGCCTTAGGGTTGGGGCCTGGCTACCCCGACACTGTGCCCTCTGTCTTCTGGCCTCTGGCACCGTCAGGCTGCAGATCCTGCCCTTCCTGGCCTCCTGCTCCAGGCTCGGGTCATGCCTGCAGTCGGCTCCCTGGCCTTCAGCTGAGCAGGAGGCTGGGGCTGTACCCGTGACCCCTGTCCTCACCCGGCAGCCCCTCTCTGCCAGCCTCGGCTCAGAAGAGAGAAAGTTCCCGAGTAGCAGAAGGGAGAAGGCCCTAGTGTCTGGCAGCATCCACAGCACTGCCCTTCGCCTTCCCTGCGCCTACTCACTCAGCTCTTCTTCTGGCTCCGAGGACTCAAAGTCCTGAGCCAGCATCCAGCCTGCGTGGGTGCCCTGCAGACTCTGGGGGTTCGGAGACCAGCAGCAGTCCTCCTGTGCGCCCGAGATGGACAGGCAGGTGACTGGGGAGGGAGAGCGGGAGCTGGCAGGGGCAGTACCAGGTGAGCACACCGGAAGGCCCAAGGAAAGGTGCCACCTCAAACCTTTAGGTGGAGAGACAAACTTCACAGTCAGGCTCAGACGGGGAGACAGCGGGAGAGAGGAACAGAAAGGGAAGGACAGTGGAGAGAGAGAGGCGGGGAGGGGGCGGGGCGGGGGGAGAGACAGATTGATGTAGAGTGGGGCAGAGCCAGACAGGAAGGAGAGACAGAAAGGTGGGAGGCAGGCTAGACTGGGCGAGGCGAGGTTGGGCTAGAGAGACAGTAACGGGGATGGAAGGAGAGACTTGGGGCCTGGGATAGGTGGGCAGCAGAAGGACAAGGACACAGAAAGAGAGGAAGGAGCCAAACGGGAGTTACTGACGGACCCACCAGTAGGCACCCGAGTGCAGAGCTTCTGCTGTGTTCTCATCAGACCGAGTGCTGCGCGGTGTGTCTCAGGCAGGCCACGTACCCATCTCCGGGGGCCTTCGCCCAACTCCAGGGACTGGGTCCCAGGCAGAGTCCCCAGCCATGGAAGGGAGCAGAGTCCAGGCCCTGGAAAGGGAGGTTTCTGGGCAAAGAGCTGTGAGCTCTGTGCATGCGTAGGGGGTGGGAGGAGGGAGGATCTCTGGCAAAACTTCTCCTAGCTCAGTCACTGCCCTGGCACATCATGTGGCCTCTGTGGGCCTCCATTTCCTCCAGATGTGACGGTGAGTATGGGTAGAGCAGGGGTCTCTGAGAGCTCCTGCCCTAAGGCCTGGCCTTGGCTCAGGCTCTTTCTTTGCAGCTGATTTACTGCTCTCTCCTACTTAACTCATGACCTTTACTTCATAGTCCAAGACGGCTGCTTGAGATCCAGCTGTCACACCTGCATTTCAGCCAGCTGGAAGGAGGAAGGAGGAAAGAAAACATCTGTCTTGTAAAGAACACCTCTCTTCAGAAGTTACAGTCAACACTTCCTTTTCCATCTCGTTGGCCATTTCCTAGTCTCGGGGCTGTATGTCAGCTTCCGGAGAGGCCAGGGTCACAGTTTCACACAGCTCAGAGATGCCTGCGCAGCTGCTCTCACGCAGCAGGCTTCCATACAGCCTTAGAGTCTTTACCTTTTGTTTACTCGATACGTAGGTAGACAGATTGTAAATACACATTTCGAGCAATGAATATCCCCCTTCATTGCCCCAAACTCCTCCCTCTCCCGAGTGTGGCCACTAGGAACAATTTGCTGTGCGTCTACTAGATTCATTTTCTGGTGTATTTACACACACACGTACATGCACGCACCTGTGCACATAAAGGGTGGGGCCACGATTCGTGTGCTGCTCGGCGCCTGGCGTTCGTGGCTGGCACACTTGGCGCCGGGACCTGGAGGTCGGAGCATCCCATCCCTGAGGAAGGACCTCACTCTACAAGACTTAGCAATGTGAGCCATAGACTTGGGCTTGTTGCCAACTTCTGCATTACGAGGGGCCTTGGAAGAGGCAGAGCATCTTCCCTGCATTTGTATGCAAAGGGTCTTTGAGGGTAGATTTCCTGAAAAGGGGCCAAAGGGGAGATCTCTGAGTTGCGGGTTTACCCCTTTCTGCGTAATATCTCTTCTCAGGGCTATGCCCTCTGTCTGGGTCCTCATCACCTCGGGGCAGCAATCCCCCATCCTAAAGCCCGCGCTCCGTAGGCTGCCCAAGCTTTTTGTTGGCTGTACCCCTTTTCTCCTTGGAGGAGGAGGAAGGTGCCTCCCTGGGTGTCCATCTCCTGGGGATTTAGGGCTTTGTTTCTGGTCCCATCTTTGCCCCTTCCCCCCTCCCCCGGCTGCCACAGTACCACCAGTGCTGTTTACCCCTCCAGGGCTCTGGAGGAGGAGGGGAGAGCACGGTGAGCCTGAGCCCGCCTCCAGTGAACAGAGAGGACGGGGATGGGGATCGGCTGGCCCACTGTCCCCGCAGCCTTGGGGGTTGCAGGAATGTGTTTGGGATGAAGAGCAGGCCCCAGAACCCCGGCCTACTTCTGGAGAGAAACGGGGCTATGGGGAGTTGAGGAGAAGGCTCTCCCCCTTGAATGGATCATTCCTGAAATCCAAGCTCCAAAGCCCCACGAAAGTGTGACAAAGTCCCCCTTCCCATGGTCAGGGCCCTCAGCCCAGCTGGGCAGCAGCGGGAGGCTGATCGGGTTATTAAAAGCTTAGCTGGTGGCTCCCCTCTGGCTTGGAGCAATTCATCAGGCAGTGGCCCCGGGAGTGGGGAGTGACGGATGGTGACAAATGACGGTAGGTAGGGGGTTCCTGAGCCCATCCGGGGCCACAGCTGGGGAAACTCAGCCATCAAAGCCCGGCGGGCTTCTCCAGCAGAGGTGACTCTGAGGGCCAGGGAGATCGAGTTTCGGGCAAATGGTTTAGGTGGGGCGGGGGGGGGGGGGGGGGGGGGCTCTCCAGAGACAGGCCATCCTGTGTGCTGCGTGGGGCCCAGGCTGGCTGTGGGCCGGGCTGGAGAGGGGGGGGGGGCTTGTCCAGTTCTGGAACCACAGGCGGGAGGCCCGGGGTGGGGGGCAGGAGGCCGGGGCTGGGAGGCGGGGCAGGGCCAGCGCCGGCGGGTGGGAGGGTGGGTGGGAGGAGGGAGCCGCCTTCCTGGGAGGAGGAGACGGAACACCTCTGAAGCAGGTGCTGGGGACCCTCCCTGGGGCCCTCTGCTAAGCCCGCGGCGCCTAGGTCTCCGGGATCCCAGCCAGCACCCAGCACCGGGGGAGGAGGCCTGGGTTGCTGGGGAGCACCCCTGGGGGGCCGGAGCCAGGCTGTGGCCAGGTAGGACGGGGAGGGGGGGAACAGGGCCGAGGCCGAGGCTGGATGGGACGGTGGCGTGGGGCGCAGCGGGGGATGGGACTGGAGACCTGGAGGCGGCCGTGCTTGGGGACCCTGGGAGCCTGCGCCAGCTCCAAAGACAGGGACACATCAGAAGAGTTTACAGCGGCGGGAACAAGGAGAGAGAGAGAGAGAAAGAGAGAGAGAGAGGGAGAGAGAGAGGGAGGGGAGCGAGCTCAGGGGATCTGCCTCCGGTCAGCTCCTGGGGGGGCGAGGAGGGAGGGCAGCACGACAGGTCTCTGTCTCAAGGCCAAACCGAGGCGGCGCCACCCCGGGCAGGACTGGCTAGGAGTCCGGGCCTCGTCCAGCCCTGGAGAACCTTCACGGCCCTCCGGCCAGTCCTCTCCTGAAGGCAGGAAACCCTCTGTAGCATCTCGATCTAGCCCTCTTCTTGATTGCCTCCCCTGATTGGGGGCTCACTACCCTGGGAGAGGAAGAAAGCTCCCTTTGTCCTGAGCTGAAGTCTGCCTCTCTAGCTTCCCCGCTCTGAGTCACTTCTAGCCTCACACTCCGGGAGGGGCGGAACATGCTGCTCCCTAGCCCGGCCGGCTACCTTCCTCCCACCCGAGCAGTCAGTGTCTACACTCCCACCAGAGCAGTTGGGACGAAATCCCTCCTGTCTGATGGTGGTGGTGGTGGGAGGGACAGGATTCCAGGAAGGGTGTGTCAGGTGAGGCCTGATGCTCCCTTATGGCAAGCAACCTAGGAGGTAGAGAACCATCCCCCCTCGCCCCTCATGAGCTTAGCAGCCAACAGCAGGCCTTCTGGCCCCTGAAGGGGTCAGGCTGTGCCTGGGGACAGGCTGGGCACCCTTGTGTGTTGGGGACAGTTTGCTACATGGGCGCCCTGTACATGGGAGCAGACTCAGAGCCCACTGACCTGCGTGGGGTCGAACCTGACTGGGCTCCCTCTCCACAGCGGACCCCATAGGCAGGGCCCAGCTGCAAAGCACCGTCCCTGCTCCTGAGTTCAACACCCCTTGGGCATTCCCTGCTGACTCCTGGGGGTGACGGACACTGCTGAGGCTCTGAGGTGTCACTGAAGTTTGGGTACTGTGCAACTTTTGGGGGGATGTGTTGGACTCCGAGAAGCTGGGGCCGGGCTGGGAGGCCGGTGGACAGTGGGCTGGACCTTCTGCAACTGCTCACCATGGTTCTGACCATCGGGCCCCAGCTTGTGCTTGGTTTGGCCATGTCTGAGGGTCCCTGGGATATGACCAAGGTTCTGAGGTGTTTCAGAGGTTCTGGGGCGATACTGACCTTCTGGGGGCTCGTGCGGGTGACACTGAGGCTCCAGGAGGTCTCGTGGTGTTGCTATAATTCTGGGGGCTATTGCTGAGATTCTGGAGGTGTTCTGGAGGATGTGGAGCCCTTGGGGGTGGTGCTGAGGTTCGAGGTTCGGGATGCTGCTGGCCTTGCGCATTGCCTCTGGCCCACTGTTAGCTCCTTTTAAGCCTAGCACTTTGCCCTTAGAGGATTTTGATAACCAGAGGCTGCTGAAGGCGCACACGTGGGCCTCTGTTCCTGGACGCAAACATTCCTCAGATTTAATCAACTTGAACAAAAACATGGGGAGGAAGGAAGCCCTGTCCCAAGGCCTCCGTGGGCCAGCTCCAGCCCCAGGGGCAGAGCAGGGCAGCTCCGTGCCCAACCCAGGTAGGAGGAGATGGCCTTTGTCTTCTCGGAACCCAGAAGGCTTTTGCGACCCTCTCTGACACTGAGTAGGGCTTGGGCACCCTCCAGTCTGTGCCCAGCTGGGAGCCCTGCTGGCCTGGGCCGCCGCCCCTCAGGTCCTGCCATCAGCCTCACCTGGATGTGCCCACATGGGCTCACGCAGGCCACAGCTAGGTGGTCCTGACCCCTGCCCTATCTTCCTGCCTTCCAGACCCCCCTTCTTAGCTCTCTTAAGGTTTCATTCTTACTACCCCTGGAGCCCTGCTTCAGGCCCCCTCCTCCAGGAAGCCTCCAAGACTGCCTAGGACGGCTCCTTGTCCCCCCCCACCGGCCCCCCACCTCTCTTCCCCAAGTGTCTGCAGTGTGTCTCTGAAGTCCCTCCATTCTCCAGGCCCTCCTCTCCTGGTGGCAGGCGCCAGTCTCCGACTCCTCAAGGCATGAGTCACGCTCTAAAACCAGTTCCAGGGGGTTGGCTGTGGACCCTGCCGCTGGGTGGGGAAATTCTTCGCACGGTGTTACCGTCTTTCTCTTCTCAGTACGCTTCCCAGCCTGCTTGCTGTCTGGCCTGGTGGCATCTTTCCTAACAGCTTGGAGCCAACCCTCCCGTTTTACAGAGGCAGGCCCCAAGCTTTTCCAGCTCCAAGCTAGGGAGGTACTTTGGCTCAAGAAGTGGGGTCCCCCTCCCAGCCCGAGCCATGCAGCCACCCAGTATCTGTGGTCTGCCACCTGGCCTGTCTTCTTCCCAGCCCCCAGCACGATGGGCGGGGAGCTGTGGGCCAGGAGGGTGGGTGGAAGACACCGGGCGGGGGGCCGGGGGGACACCTGGGTCATCACAGCCTCTGTGGCTTTGGCCTTCTTGCTACAGCCAGCCAGCCAGCCGGGTGCCTGGTGTGCTGGCTCCACATTCTTGGGCCATGAAGTCATTGAGGGCAGGGAGTAGGGGCCTTGGGGAGAAGAGAGCCCACAAAGAATCTCCAGGCTGAAAGCCCTACTCCTCCTGGGACAGAGGAGGGTTGAGACCCAGAGAGGCCAAGGGAGTCACTCAGTCACTCAGCCAGCCCAGGGTTCAGACCCAGGTAAGCCTGCCTCCCCAACTGGGGCACTTTCCAATGCCATCCAGCAACCGTGCTGTTCCTCCAGGGCCTGCTCCTGCCTGCTTCCCACGTGGCCCTGATCTGGGCACTGGGCACACGCTGCCTTCTGGCCACTGTGCCTACACCCAAGTGAGCAAAAAAGTTCACGATGTCCTCGCCTCTGGTGGGGGCCTCCCCAGGGAGGAGGGAGGGGATATGGGCACTGGGTATCCCTCAGGGACAGTCTGCCAGAAGGCATCCACCGCGATGGATGCCGGGGAGCCGAGCGGGGTTCAGTCAGGGAGAGGTGCTTTGGGGCTGGGCTGGCCTGGGACCTCCCTGGCAGCTCCCGAGGCTGCTGGAGGCTCCTCGGGCACCCGGATGGCTTCCTCCGCGCCCGGCTGGGTACCCCTCCCTTCCCCCAGGTTTCTGCTCAAGTGCCCCCTCCTCTGTGGGGCCTTCCCTGACCAGCCAGCCTAAAGCAGCCACCTCCTGTCTGTGTCCCTCTTCTCTTGTCCTGCTTTACTTTCCCTCTCAGCACCATGACACGGTGTCCCCCGCTGCCCCAGGTCCAGGCTCACTGCTGCCTTCTCAGCGTGTAGAACCTTGCCTGGTACAGAAGGGGGATGCAATAGGCATTTGTTGAATAAATGAATGAACGAACAAACCAGCCTGGGGAGGCTCCCTCGAGGGAGGGAAGCAGTTTCTGAGAGGCAGCATTGCCCAGCTGTGAATGCCTCTGCCTTGTATACAGGGAGTGAGCTCCCCATCACAGACTGGACTCCAATTGCTGGAGGAATCACGAGTGGGGATTTAAGATGGGATAGGAGTCACTGCTCTCTAGGCTGGGAGTCCAAAGCTCCTGAGCAGTGGCGGGAATGCGGGGCTGTAGGGTTGGAGCCGAGGCTGGAGACAAAAGCCTGGCTGGAGGCATAGTAGGCTGCACAGGACAGGCCCATGGACAAGTGATGCTCACTAGAACAGGCCATAGTTTGGCCAAATCCAGTTTATAAAGTCGTCGTCACCTAAGAGCCCCGTGCTGAGTGCGCATCAGTGGGATAAGGGAGGAAGAAGAGGAGAGGCAGGTGCCCCAGGACCTCGCCACCAGGCCTGGGAGGCTGGATTCAGCCCAGGGTTCTGGGATCGGATGGGCAGTGGGGGCTCCTGCTCCCTGTTGCATCACAGAAAGTTTGGGTTCAGTTCTGAGTCGGCTGCTGCTGACAGTTCTGGGGGTGGCAGAGGGGTGGTCTGAGCCCTCTTCCTGGAAGAGGGTCATCTGGGAAGGAGGGGGAGCCACGGGGCCGGCAGAATGCTCAGTCTCTAATCCTAGAAGGCCTTGTGGGGCTGGCTACTAAGTTTGAATGGGGAGCTTTCAGGATTTCTTTTTTTTTTTTTTAAGATTTTATTTATTTATTTATTCATGAGAGACAGAGAGAGAGAGAGAGGCAGAGACACAGGCAGAGGGAGAAGCAGGCTCCATGCAGGGAGCCCAATGCAGGACTCGATCCCAGGACCCTAGGGTCATGCCCTGAGCCAAAGCCAGAAGCTCAACCACTGAGCCACCCAGTCTCCCCAGCTTTTAGGATTTCAAGCTCTGTCTCCTCTGAGCCTCCCTGGCACTGTTCCTTCTATCAAGAACACACTTCCTTCTCCCCCACTCCCATCCTCAAGACCCCCACTGTCCGCATAGCTAACTTTTCCTTACCCTCAGACCTCCATGGAAAGGTTTCTCTTTTCGGGAATCCCCCATTTTTTTTAGACCAACTTCAGCTTCCTGTGGCATGCATCAGAGCAGCCTGTCTTCCCTTTGTAGGCAGGAAGACTCAGCCCTCAGCCCTGTGGTTTGGCTAATTGTCTGCATCTCCCCCGGGAGGGCACACTCTCCCGTCCCAGGGCCCAGAGCCGCCTGCGCTTAGTAGCTGTTCAATGAATTTACGTTAAAAGAATACAAGGATAAATGCTTTTTGAGCAACCACTTGTGGAATGAACGAGTGCCTTGGCTGGGGAGGGCCCCCCTGGGCTGCTGGAAAGACAGGGAGCTTCAAATGTACCGTGTGCCTGACCCCCCCACCCAGGGACAGGGGCCTGAGAACAACTCAGTGTGTTTATCTGCATCTTGTCTCCCTTCTGAGCTGGGGCCAGGATGGGGAGGGGAGCCAGGCTGGGGTACAGGCTTCTCAGGGGTGGGGGGAAGGAGGGGAAGCCCCAGACCTTGCCTGGGCCCTGCCTTCCTCACCCTCACCCCGTGGCGTGGGCGGAGCCGAGGCAGGAGGAGTTCTTACTTACCCCCTGGGTCTGGTTTGTGTTTAAAGGACTAATCTCCGCCTCATGAGGGTGAGTTATCTCCTGGTGAAATCAAGTTGGAAACTAAAGTTTTGACCAGTGAGACACATGTTGCCTCCTTCATGGAAACCTAACAGAAGGCGCAGACAGGCTCCCCATCCCCACCTCTGCCCCTGCTCCAGCCCCAGCCACCTCTTTGGGTTGCAGAATGCTGGACTTGTGTGTTGGGGCGGGGGGCTGCAGATGCGGTGGGCAAGGATGTGTGTGCAGGAGGCGCAGGAGGCAGGTATGTGTGCGCAGCCAGGTGCTGGACCCTCCTGGCCACACCCCTCCAGGGCTCAGGCCACCAGTGGAACTGGGGCCTCCTACCCTGGGAGGGGCAGCTTCTTAGGACCACAGTGCGATCCCATCACCGAGGGCCAAAGGAGCCAGCGAGCAGAGCAGAGCGAGCAGGGCAGAGCGCAGGCTGGGGCTGGGGAGGCGGTGTTGTCTCCACGGGAGCCCAGTAAAGAGGGGGATTGGACTCGACCTGACCCGACCCCAACCGACCCAACCTACTGGGAGGGCAGGAGGGACCTGGAGCCCAGCTGGGAGGGTCCAGCTGTGTCGCCTGCCTGTTGCCCGCCCATCCTTTCATCTCTGCAGCTCCTTCCTCCCTGCCCTTCCCCAGTATGTGTCTGTGGGTCCGTTTGGGTGGCTTTGGGGAGCGGGAAGGAAGAGGGGGGGTGTCTCTTCGGGCAGCTTGGATTGGACAAACTTTCTTTGAAAATGGTCCTTCGCCCAAGGGCTGGTGGTCAGATGAACAGACAGGTGCTCCGGCAGGAGTCCAGGGACCCCGGGGGCGCACACTTCCCAAGGGGGTAACGCCCCCTGGGGGAGCGGGCAAGACGGGGCAGGAAGGGACGGGAAGGGACAGGAGAAGCCCTTCCCTTTCCCCGTGGGCCAGCCCCGGCCCTCCGGACGGCTTTTCCCAGAGAGCTAAGAGCAAGAAAGTAACCTTCAGGATTAAAGAGAAACGTTTCTTTGTTTGGGTTTCTTCTTTTTTTTTTTTTTCTCCCTAAGCCTCTTTTCACATCTGTAGTGGTTTTTCCCCCCTTGTCCAGGGGAGCGGGGGGAGGAGAAAGGCCGGAGCATGTCGTCCCAGGCGGCCGGGAACCAGACCGCCTCCGGGGCCGCAGACGACTACAGCGACTGGTACCTCGATGAACCCCAGGATGGCCAGGAGCTCCCGCCAGAGGGGTAAGTGGCCCCCACCGCGTCTGCCAGCAGAGTGGGCCATGGCAGAGGTTACTGACGGGGGACGGGGCAGCCCCTGGGCAAGGACCCCTGGGAGGAACGGGGCCGTTCCTCTGCGGCGTGACCCTTGGCAAGTCACAGCCTCCCCGGGCTTCAGGCTCCCGTGACACCAGAACAGCCCTCGCCCTGGTGCTGATGCTTGAGGTGGGGAACGTGGGCCAGGCTGTCACTCAGAAAGCACCTGTGTGATTTGTTGTTTGTTTTTATAAAAAAAAAAAAGATTTTATTTATTTATTCATGAGAGACACAGAGACACAGGCAGAGCGAGAAGCAGGCTCGTGCAGGGAGCCCGATGTGGGACTCGATCCGGGGACCCCAGGATCACACCTTAAGCCGAAGGCAGGCGCTCAGCTGCTGAGCCACCCAGGTGCCCCCTGTGCGATTTGTGAGAAATACAGCCTCCTGGGCCTTATCTTTGCGAATTCAGGTCCAGCTGGTTCCCGGTGGCTCCTGGATGACTCTGGCCTGTGGCTGGAGTGCAGAGTGTTGGCTGAGTGGGTGAGGGAAGTTGGGCCGGACTTCAAGGGGTTACTGGTCCCTATGGTGACCATCTGGGGTGCAGTGTTAGCAGCGTCAGGCTCCCTGGGCAGCCCAGGGCAGGGGGAGGCCTTGAGGAAAGATGCCCCCCCCCGCCGCCCCCTGGCCTTTGGGCAGCTCTGAGTCTCCACGAAGATGAGGAGGCCCTTTCTCTTTTGCCAGAGTGCTCGGGGGAGCCCACGGCTGGAGGCAGCCTCTGCCCATCCAGGGTGACTACCTCGGCCCATGGCTCCCTTGGCCAGACCCTGTCTTTGTTTAGTCTGTGCGCCCTGGCAGAGGGGCTGGGCCTCCCTGGGCCCCACATGCTGCCAAGAACACCTCGCCTATGTGGGCTCCACAGTCCAGATCCCTCCTTCTTGTTCCTGGGCCTCTCCTCATCCCCCCTGCTTCCCTGTTGTGAGGGTTTGAGGAACTGAAAAGGTGAGGCTGGGGAGGGGTGGTGGTGGCTGAACCAGATGTGCACACATCTGCTCTCCATCAACAACTCAAACTAGAGTGGGGGAAATATTGGCAGGCATCCCCGGGAGCTGGGGCTGTGGCCTGGCCGCGCTTGGGTCACCCGGCAGGGACGGAGGCCCCACCCAGGCCTCGTGCTGGGAGGGGCCAAGGTGCCGGCCACCTGGATTTCCTGCCCCCTTCCCTGGCTGATCTAGACAGCCCGTGGGCTCCTTGTCTCTGCTGCATATTTTGGGGGTAAGAGAAGCAGCAAATTGGGGAGGGGCCCGGAAACCCACGAGGTTATGGATTCTGACCTGGGTTAAGACCCTAATCTGTAGCTGCATTCCCGGGAGCCTCAGGGCCCTGGGCATCGGCTGGGGCCAGGCTCCTGGGATATGGCCTCAGAACGAAGCTGGGTACATGGCCGGGCCCAGGGAATGGGCAGCATTACCTCTAACAAGGGAGGCATCTGGAATTTGCCACTGCCTTCTACCACTGCCCCAAGGATGAGGTCTGTTGGACTCTACCTACTTGGCCAATCCGAGCTGCTTTGCTTGGCACCCCCCGCCCAGCACCACCCCCGAAGGCGGAAGCTCGGGGGAATACCAACAAGATGACCTTGAGCCTTCCTCTCCCTAAGCGAGTCAGATACCCCAGGGAGGCGGTGCGCCAAAGCTTTGGGGAGCTCCTGATGGTGATCCCCCTCTGCATCTCAGCGTCCCTCAGCAGGCTGGGGTTCGGACTGGCGGGCACTGGTGACAGTGGCCGGCTGGACTCCTTCTTCTGGTCACACTTGTCCAGTTGTCCTTGTGCTGGAAATACCCGGTGAAAGGGCTGGGGAGGCAGGTAGTGAGTCTGATGGTGGGATCATCTGGGATCTTCTGTGAGCACAGGACTGGCCCTTTCCTACCCTGGAGCCCGCCAACCCTGTCATGTGCCCAGCCTGACATCTGCCCATGTGTTATCCACTTATCACCAATACTGAGCTGCTGGGCCAGACCCTGGGGACACGAATGCCTATGACAGCTGTCTACCTACCCGCCACTTCAAAGGGCTGCCTGGGGAATCGGAGGCTTCCCTCCAGGCCTGCCCTCCCAGCAGGAGGCTGAGGCCGAGCTCAGGGTGATCTGCAGGCCCTGCTCTGGGGGCAGGGAGTGTATCAGGGTCCAACGACCCAGGCAGTCAGCTTTCCCTCCCACCCAGAGACAGGTGCTCTCCCTTCCCCTCTGAGTGGGGCCCTCTGTGGGCTCCTGCTCAGAGACAAACTTCTAGAAGCATTTGTCTTGCTCCTTTTTTAAAAAAAATTTTATTTATTTATTCATGAGACACAGAGAAAGAGGGAGAGGCAGAGACACAGGCAGAGGGAGAAGCAGGCTCCACGCAGGGAGCCCGATGTGGGACTCGATCCGGGGTCCCCAGGATCAGGCCCTGGGCTGAAGGCGGCGCTAAACCGCTGGGCCACCCGGGCTTCCCTGTCTTGCTCCTTGGTCTCAGTGTCCTCCCCACTCGGCGGTCCGGCCTCTGCCCCTGAGTGCGAGACCGAGCCTGCTTCCCCGGCTGCGTGTGATTTTGGTCCCCACCTCCCCTCTGGGCCTAGAGCTCTGCGGTCATCCTGGAAACCCCCCTCCATGTAGCTCTTCCTGCTACTTGCCTCTGAGCCGGCCTGTCCTCTCTCTCCCCCAGCACTGCTTATGCTGAACTCTCTGGAAATGCTAACTTTCAACTGTTCTTGCCGTACAGAAATGACTCTTTCATACGGTTCTTAAACCTAACACTTCCTTCCGTCCTCCTTACCTCTCCCCTCCCGGTCAGATGTGGGCGCTGGAGCCAGACGACCTCAGTTCGAATCCTTGCTCTGCTGCTTTCCTAACTGTGTGATTTGGGCAAGATACTTGGCCTCTCTGAGCTTTGGTGTCCTTGTCTACACAAGGGGATTAATAATAGCACCCACCTCTTCAGTAATACCTGGGTTACCTGGGTTAATGCGTGGAGCAAACAGCACCTGGCACGTAGTCCATTCTTAGTAAGTACTAGTTACTGCTGCTGCTATTACTGAGATTGAGTCCTAGGAATCTCCCCAGATCTAGAACACTGGCACTGCAACACCCTCAATGGCTCCCTAGTGCCTCTCGCGCCTGCTGTGACCTGCTCCCCGCCTGCCCCCACCCCGTGACAGCAGCCGACCTGAAAGCCTTGCTAGGCCCCAGCCACACCATCTGCTGCCTCCACACCCACTTCCTCGTGTTCCTCCCCCTGAGCGTAGCTCCCTTTCCCCTTCTTTGCCTCAACAAACCATCTTTTAAACTCAAATCAAATGCCACAGGGCCAATCATAGGACCATACATCTGACTGCTCCACCGAGGCAGTTCACTCAGGGCTCAGCCCACAGTTCCGAGAAGGACAGGTCTATGAGGCCTGGAGCAGTCGGGCTGCCTGGAGGAGGGGGGAATGAAGTGGGCTTCGAAGGCCAGGAAGAATGGATGGGAAAGAAGGGGGCTCCAGGCTGAGCTGACCCCCTCTGTTTCTTCCGTGCCTTCCCCTGGGCGCCTGCTGTATCCTTCAGCCCCGTAACCTCAGAGCTTGGCATGAGGCTGGCACCCCATGAGGGGCCTGAGAGCCCTGAATGACCCCCAGGAGGTGGAACTGGGCAAGCCTGTCAGGGAATGATGAGAGGGCTGAGAGAGGTGGAGGGCAGGGCCCAGTGTAGAGCCTGGAACCCCAAGCCTGGCTGCACATGCCAGGGGTCCTCCCACAAGCCTGAGCCAGCCCTCCCTCGCTCTGCAGGGCAGTGCCCTCCTGCCACCCCAGCGTGCTCTCCGGCCTCCTCCACACCTGCCTGGCGGTGCTGTCGGTGAGTCTAACCTGAGGCCAGCCTAGTCACTGCTTGTACCCTATTGCCAGACTGGGGGGGGGGCTGGCGGAGGGGGGCCCCAAGAGCCCCAAATCCGGGAGCGGTCTCAGGGTGGGGCCCCAACCAGGATGCAGGCCGAGTCCAACCCCTCCAAGGTTCTCTTGGTCAGGCCCCGATATGCCACATGATGGTGCCCTGGGCGGGGGGCTGTCCTGGGCACCCAGGGCCTGCTCTGCGTTCTCCTTCCAGGTCCTCGTGCTGCTGCTGCTGGCTGTGCTCATGAGGCGCCGCCAACTCCGGCCCCGCTCCAGGCATGGTGGGCCTGGACTGCCCAGGTGGGTGCCGAGGCCTGGGCGCCAACAGGGCCACTCTGGGATGGTGGGGGCCTCAGCCACACCCCCACTTCTCTCAGCCCAGAGGGCGCTTGCTCTTACTAAGAATGGACTACCTGGATCTCTGGGCCTAGGCAGGGGCCCAGAGGGAAGGGGAGGGCCCCACTCAGGCCGCCTGCTCCTGTCCCAGACCCAGGGAGACACCAGCTCCACTACCTATTTCCTCAGATGGCCCATAGCCTGGCGACACCTATCCCATGCAATCTGGACCTTCATCTCCCTTGAGGGTCTCACCCTGACCCTGATGCTTGATGGCAGATGATATGGGCCTCATCTTCAGTCCCTAAGGCTAGAACTTTCTTCCCCTGTCTCCTTCAGTCCTGCGACCCCAGAGCCTGGGACAGGGATGACCCTCAGGAGATGAGACTGGGCAGGCTCATGGGGGAGACACCAAAGGGTTGGGGGAGGTACTGGTTAGAGCCCCAGTGTAGACAGCCTTGCCACCCAGGCCCAGGCCACGCACCAGGTGAGTCCTGCCATGATAGATTTGGGAAGAACTAGCTTGGGCTACTGGTGGGCCCAGGTAAGAGCTTGCCCTGCGTAGAGGGAGAAGGAAGCGGTTGGAGCTCTCAGGGCATGAGGTCAAGCTCGACAGAAGCAGAGGGTCTGAGTGGGGCCTGCGCTGAGCCCAGAGGGCCGATGCCTGGGACAGCTGTGCCCGCTGTCTGCCCTCTGCCCCGGGGCCACACCCGGGCCGGGGCGGTGGCTGTTGCGTAAGGATGTTGTGACTCTCCATGCTCTCTGAAGACTTGCCAGCTGAGACAGACTGATTTGTGTGGAGGCAGCTGTTTCCTGGAGCTTCCAGGGTGGGCGGAGGGAGCAGTGCTCGGGCTTGTTCCCACTGCCTGAGTGTGTAAGGCTGGGGGTGTGGGGGTAGCTCTTGAGTCACTTTGCCATGGGACCCAGAACTTGGCACATGGGGGCACTCCACAGATACCTGTGGAATGAACAGAGAGTGGGCCTCAGTTTCCATCTGGAAAGTGTCCCCCTCTACCTGCCTGGTTTACGGGACATGGCGGGAAATGGGGGTGCAGGGCCTGAATGACCCCTTCTTGTCCTGTCCCTGTCTCTACCCCAGCCCTGTGGACTTCTTGGCTGGGGACATGACCTGGACAGTGCCCGCGGCTGTCTTCATGGTCCTCTTCAGCTCCTTGTGTTTGCTGCTCCCCGCTGAGGACGCGCTGCCCTTCCTGACCTTGGCCTCGTTCCCCAGCGGAGGTACCCGGGGCAGAGGAGGTCCTGGGGCCGGATTGGCGGGCTGGGCTGGGCTGGGTGGAAGTCCAGAGCCTGGGGCAGAGCTCTTCTGCAGGGAGTCAGGGAGTCATCCCCGTCCTGAGCCACCGCCAGGAAGATGCTGTCCTGCTAACCTCCCAGCCACAGTGCATGACACCGCCCTGTCCACCTCCTCTGTTCTTGTGCCAACCCCTTTTCCAGAAAAGAGAATGAAAGAGGGCGGGACGGAAGCGGGGGCCGGGGGCAGTTCTGGAGAATTGAGCTGGGTTCAGGGAAGTGATGGTACTAGGATAGCTGCTGCCAAGAGGGGCCACCATCCTTAACATGACCCCCTGAGAGCAGCCAATCCTCACAATGCCCACAATTCGAAACGTGGCTGTTAGCCCCGTTTCACCCTGGAGGACGCTAGGGGTCAAGGTGGGCTAACGTGCTACCCTTATTTCCATTTTACAGATGGAAGAACTGTGACTCTGAGAGGTAACTTGCCCGAGATCACAAGTCTGGTACCGGTCAGAACCTGAATTTGAATGTGGGGCTCTTGCTCACGGAAGCAGCTGAGGGGCTCAGGAGGGGGAGGCAGGAGAGTGGCCTGCCGGGGCTGGACCCAGACCCCCCACATCTGCCTCCCCATCACGTGTCTCCCTCTGCCCATCTTGTCTTCCAGGGCCTTGGAAGATACTTGCCCTGCTCTATTACCCTGCCCTCTACTACCCTCTGGCCGCCTGCGCCACCGTCAGGCACGGAGCTGCACACCTGCTCGGCAGCATGCTGTCCTGGGCTCACTTTGGGGTCCAGGTCTGGCAGAGGGCAGAGTGTCCTCAGACACCCCAGGTAACCCCTGACTCACAAGAGCCTGAGCAGAGGAGCATGGAGGGGCTGCGTGAACCGGGGGGCTCCTTTCCTCTCTTTATATGCTGGACTTCTCTGCTGTGCCCTACTGTGCACAGAATTCCACCCCTGTACACACAAGCCCTTCCCAGTTTGGGCCCTCTGTCCTTGGAGGGGTGGGGGTGGCAAGGCAGCTGGGCCTGTCCTCAGGAGCTTCTGCTCCAGGAGGGGGCCAGGAGGGAGGAAGAGGAAGCCTGAAATCCCTCCATTATTGATTCCCCAGCCTTGGCTTTGGCCAAGCTGGAGTGGGAGTGAAGAGATGGAGAAGGGTGAGCCCTGAGTTGGGGGATGGCTAAAAAGAGAATTCTAGAACATCAGAGCCTGGTTCACAGGCTGTTGGCTGGAGTGTGAAGCTAAGCCCAAAGGGTGGAGACATAGGTTTCAGAGCCAAACAACCTGAGTTTGAACCCAGCTTCTTTCTTCCCTCCCTCCCTCCCTCCCTTCCTTCCTCGCTGCCTTCCACAAACATATTTGAAGCACATACTCTGTACCGGGGACATTTCTAACTAATGAAATACAGCTAGGAACAGGACAGATGAAGTCCCTGGCATCCCGAGAGCTGCCATTCCAGAAGGGAAGATACAACAAATACATAAATATACAGAATGATGCCAGGTGATGCTAAGTGCTTTGAGGAAACCATGTCACCATTCTGAGATTCAGTTTCCTCCCCTGTAAGTGGAGATAACACCATCCTCCAGGGTAGAGATGAAGATTAGTTGGTTTCTTTGAAAGCAGGGACTTCATTGGTCTTTTTCATCACCCAGAACCTGGCACATACTAAGCTCTCAGTAAAAATGCATTGAATTGAGAAATAAATAAGTGGATCCAGAAGGGGCCTGACCCCGGGGAAGGCAGTGCTAGGAGGTAGGGCTCGTGCTTCCCTGGTGCCCAGGTGGCAACTGGACATAGGTAGAATTAGGCCTTTGTCTAATTTTCAGGGGCCTGTGCCCAAAGCCCAGGAACAGAGGAGCATAGAAAGTGGGTATCCCTGGTTTCAGACCCCAGGGCAGCCCCAGCTCCCTGGGGCAGGGAAGAGGGGATTACATAACTTCCTCACTGGACTCCTCTAAGGGCAGTGGGAGCCCAGGAGCCCAGGAGCCCCGGGGAGGTGCCTCCACGGAGCCTTAGGAGGGCAGTAGGAGTATTTGTGCTGAGGGGCCTGGGAGCCAAGAACCAGAAGCCTCAGACCAAATAAATAAATAAATAGATTAAAATAAAATAAAATAAAGAAGAAGCCTCAGACCATCCTCAGGCCCAGTGGGAGCCAAGTGGGAAGGGAAGTGGATCCTGGTCTTCGGCTGGGGGAGGAAGGCCGAAGGTAGGTGTGTCTGGATGTCGGTCTCTCTGTCTAGATCCACAAGTACTACTCCCTGCTGGCTTCCCTGCCTCTGCTTCTGGGCCTTGGATTCCTGAGCCTTTGGTACCCGGTACAGCTGGTGAGAAGCATCAGGCGCAGGCCAGGAGCGGGCTCCGAGGTAAAGGGGCAGGGCCGGGCTGGGCTCCTCTTCACTCCCAGGATGTCCTGAACTGCTGCATATCTGTTGATTCCCTGTCCTGTTACGCCTGACGTGAGCCACAGAACATAGTGGGTGCTCCGAAAATATTTGCCGAGTCACCAAGTGACTGGGTAGTCCTCCCTCCCCGAGCAAAGGTTAGGCCAGGCCTTCGGCTGGCACCCGGGATGCCTGGGGCACCCAGCTGCGTGCACGGTGGGGATTCAACAGAGGAGGGGTGGGCCGGGGGACGGGGAAGTCTGAGCTCTGCTTCTGACGCATGGAAACTGCAGCCAGAGAAATGAGACCGGCCAGGAGCCTGGTGCCTCCTGGGAGCTCTGCGGGTGCCCACGTGCTTCAGGAAGCTCCCGGGGCAGAGTGGCATAGAAATCAGTCTGGGGCTGGCTACTGTTGGATAAAGTGAGATAAAGCAGGGGCCTGGGAGAACTGAGGCAGGCTGGGAGGGCTTCCTGGAGGAGGTAGGCTTCCGTAGGGGCTCTGAAGGACAGGGAGGACCGGGAGCATGGAAAGAATAAGAAGGCCTGGCAGGGGTAGGGAAGAGGAGGGAGCAAAGGGGCAGAGACAGGTAGTGTCTGTTTTGTTCACATGTAATTTGTAGCACTGGGCAGATCTTAGCACGTGGTAGACCCTCAGCAAATATTTCTGAAGTTTTCGATGGACAGGTGGGTGGATCACAGCGAGAGAGAATTCCTGCAACCTCATCAAGGAGCCTCCCAAGGGTCAGGCCCCGAACAGGGCTCCAGGGCCCAGAGCTACCTACTGTCTGCGCTCCAGGGGCTCCCGGCACCCCGGGAGTCAGCAACAGAGGGCACCGTGCGACCTGAGACGTGCAGCCGGGCCCCAACCAGAGCCGGGCGAGGGCAGAGGGCGAGGGCAGAGCCGGGTCAGGTTCTCTTCTCAGTGGGGGAGGAGGAAGACAGAAACCAGGCCTCAGAGGCCCCCAAAGGGAGGGGCAGCAGCGGAGAGGCCGAGGCCACAGATGCCCAGGGGCCCGGTTGCTCTCGGGGTGGGGAAGGGCAGCAGGCGGCAGGCAGGCCAGACAGCAGGGAGCTGCTGGTGCCAGTTGCTGACCTGGAACGGATGCCGGGCGCGAGCAGGTGCGCGGGGGTCGATGCGCGGTCCTGGGTGGCGGTGGGCGGCTGGACCACGGGCCGGGGCTCAGGAGGGGGGCTGGGACGGAAGCCGGAGGGGGATCGCGGACCCCAAGGATGGAAGGAGACCGAGGGGAGAGAGGCCTGTGGGCTCCGGTCCCCCAGCGGCCACCCCGGGTCCTCCGTGGGCCCACCCCACTCCGGGTTGGTAGCAGTAGGCACCTCGGGTACTGTCCCTGTGCCCTCCTGACGTTCACTCTCCTGGGGAAGCCCACTGTCCCCTCATTTTTAGTTGTCTCCGAAGCGGGGAGCGGCTCCCCCAGGGGCACACGTCTAACCTGCTGGGGCCCTTTCCACCCTCCGCTGGGGGCCTCCTCTGGCGCCTCTCCCCTGGAGGAGTCCTGGGAGAAATCAAATCCTCTTTGGCCCTGGGGCAGAGAGGTTTAAGCCTCAGGGACCCAGTCAGGCTTAGAGCTGACCCGCAGCTACCCTGGGGTAGGGGTGGGGGTGGGGGTGGGTCTCGGGGTTGCCATGGCAACAGGTGACAGCCTTGTATTCTCCTAATGATGGGGGGCAGGGCTCACCCCATCTTGCTGTGGGCCTCTGGCACTTGGCAGGCAGCTTAGGGCCTGGAATGTGGCTTAGGCAAATCCTGTCACCCTTGTGATCTCCCTGGGGTAGCAGGAGAGGCAGGGGCGGGCGGGGGGGGGGGGGGAGGGGGGGGAATGTGACCTGGAACGGGCCCGTCCTGTGTCCCACTCAGGGATGTGTCCAGGGGAGACGGAGAGCTGGAGCCAGCCCTTAGGAAGAGCCGCTCAGCGCTGAGTCTTCTAGAGCCTGGCACTCGTCTCCCATTTGTGGAGGAGAAAGGGCGGCTTTAAGGGCCATGGCCCTCGCCCCCGCAGGTTGGCCCTTCTCTGCACCTCACCACAGCCAGGAGGTTTTTCCAGAGCCCCGTGCACCCACTCTGGCACCTGCGCCAGGTCCCCGGGATGGCCCCAGTCGGGTCTCATCTGCTCGCACGTCTGTCTCCCCAGGGGCTGCAGAGCAGCTACTCGGAGGACTATCTGAGGACCCTCCTCTGTCGGAAGAAGCTGGCAAGCAGGTGAGGTCCTAGACGCATCCTCCGGCTCCTGGGCAGGCCCAGTTGGCAGGCCGCTTCGGGGGCTGCCCCAGGCAGCCTGGGGGGCAGCATGAGAAACAAACCAAACTGGGGCTCGGGCTCAGGGCAGGGGCTTCTCCCGAGGGAACCGCCTGCCTCCGTCTTTCTGCAGCTCCCGCGCCTCCAAGCATGGCTTCCTGTCCCGGGCCTGGGTGTCCTACAGAAACTACATCTACACTCCACAACGAGGTATGGAGGGGCAGCTGAGGTGGAGTGGCAGGGCATCTCGCTCGTCCCTTGCAGTGAGAGGCCAGCTCGCGTCCCCCAGAACCCTAGTCAGTAGGAACAGGCCCCGCTGGGGACAAGGGGAAGTCCCTGGCCTGCCTTCGCTGGGCCTACAAGCCCTGGCCCTTTTCCTGGGCCCTTTGGGAGGGATGGGGGCTCCCGGGCCTGGGTGGTGCTACGGCTTACCACCTTACCCCTTACATCTTACCCCTTCTTTTGGGGTCTGCAGGATTCCGACTCCCTCTGAAGCTGGTGCTTTCAGCCACTTTGACGGGGAGCGCCATATATCAGGTATGTCCTGCCCCTGTCGTGCCATCTGCACCCAACCCCTAAGCCTGGGACAGCGTAGGCCCAGCTCAACTGCCCAAAAGCCCCAACCGCAATCCTGTCCGGCTGCTCCTGGACATCTTGGGAATACTGGCCTACACGCAGGAGAGGGAGTGTCAACTCTCATGGGGCTCCTGTACTCAGAGCATGAGCTTTGGAGTCATACAGACACGGATTTAAATCCTTGCTCCATTATTTACCTCCTGTGTGACCTTAGGCAAGTTATTCAACATCTCTGAACACATTAGCTGTAAAATAGAGGAACTAGAATTACTTTCGTCTTTGAGCAGTTTTGGGAGGGTTTAGGCAGGTTTGGGTAGTTTGTAAATAATATGTGTTTGAGATATTGAATAATCCCCTCCATTGCCACCCCCGGAAAACTGAGAAGCCCAAATCCTGGGAGGTAGGTGTGATTTTTCTCCATTTTACAGATGAGCAAAATTGAGGCTCAGAATTAGACCTGACCAAATTCCCATCGCTAATATCCCAAGGTAGCCAAAATGTGAGCCCAGGTCCCTCTAGCTTCAATGCCTGTGCTCGTCTATGGGATACTTGGCTTTTGCCAACACGGGCAATTGGAAATGTTATTTTCTGCAGTTTAAACAATAGACGGTGGATAGATAGAGGTGTAGACATACGGCTGTGCTGCTTGGAAGCACGGCTGTGGCCTGCTGGGCTCAAGTATCTCTTTGCAACGTGCGGGTAAAGGGCCCATAAGAGCCCTGAGGGGCGTTGGGCATGGGGATGCAGCCTGTGTGCTGCCAGGGTTTATGCCCCAAGTCACCCTGCTGGCTGAGAAGACACTTGGTCCGAGATGGGGGCCTGCTGTGAGCACGGCCAGGTCCCTGACCTTCCTCGTGGGGCTCTTCCAGGTGGCCCTGCTGCTGCTGGTGGGCGTCGTACCCACCATCCAGAGGATGAGGGCAGGGATCACCACTGACATCTGCTACCTGCTGGCTGGCTTCGGGATCCTTCTCTCGGAGGACAAGCAGGAGGTGGTGGGGCTGGTGAAGTACTACCTGTGGGCTCTGGAAGGTGAGGCCCCCAGGAGGCCTGAGGGGGCCCAGTAGGGACATGAGGCGGCTACCCACGCTCAGTTCCAGCCTGCCAGGGCCACGCGGGGTGCTCTTGGGCATGTCCCTTCCTCTCTCTGGGTCCCACCTGCCTCACCTCCAAGCTGGGGTGCTGGCAGTTTCCGGGTCCGGGTCTCTGAGACTTGAAGGAGTCATCCAAGCAGTCCTGGGGCTTGTGAGGTGTCCCCCACCCTCAGCTCCCGGGTCTTCACTCAGCTTTCGGGTGTGGAGCCGGGCAAGGCTTCGGGGTGTGTGATCCCCTCCAGCCTTGCCGGGGGAGCGAAGGAGGCAGTGATGTGGGAGAGGGGGCCGGGTTCTGAGCTAATAATCGCCATGGCGGGCGGGTTTGGGCAGGGTAGTGCTTCCTCTTCCCTGATCCCTGTCCTCCTGGGCCCTCTCCTTGTGCCTTCCCTCCCTGGGAGGCTTGGGGGGAGCCTTGACAATGAGGCCCTGGGCCAGGGAACCCTACCAGCCTCCCCTTCTGGGGTCTGATGCCTCCTTCAGCCCTTAGTCTGGCCTTGCACCCGCACCACCTCACAGGCCCTCCCAATAGCCCTGCAGAGGAGTTGGGGAAGCGCCCCCCCTTGACTCTCAGGGCGGCATTGCTTGAGGCTGTACCCGCTAGAGAGGAGCCAAGAGGAATACAGCCTCCTGCCACATGCTGGGGCTCCCTCCACACCTCGAGACAAAGCCTGGTGGTCAGGAATCCTGAGGCCTGCGTTCGGCTCACTTGGGAGGCCCCGTGGGTATGAGCACCCTGGTTTCTGAGGAGCACCACGGGGGTCGGAGCTTAGGCTGCCCACCCTGCAGATGGGGTGTGACTGCTCCGGTGGCACCACTGCTCCTGGCCGTTAGCACCATCCTCTCCCTGCAGATTGGAAAGAAGCAGGAAGTGGGGGTGGGCACAGACGGGTGCAGGGGCTGCTCCCTTCCCAGGCCGCCACTCCCACCACCTTCCCGAGCGCCTCTGCTCCCATCCCGGAGGCTACCCTGCAATTGTGGCCATGCAAGCTGGACAGGTGACAAGTTCTGGGTGGGCTGCAAATGACATCGCCAGGGAGGTTTTTCCAACTTGGCTGCAAGCCGCACCACAGGCAGGAGCGGACGTGGCCCACATCCGCCTGCATCCAAGGCCGGCACCCACACAGCAGCCCTCTTAGGTCGGCATCGTCAATCCTCATCTTGCAGGACAGGAAATGGAGGCTTGGAGGCCAGGAGGGACCTGCCCAGGATGGCAGACTTTGCTTCTACCTCCTACAGTGACATTTATCATCACATCCAAGCCTCAAGGCCTCCACTTTGGATCTTCTCGGATTCAGGTGCCCAACAGAGTAGGGTTTACTCTCCCAGCCCACAGATGAGCAAACTGAGGCAGGGGAGGATTAGAGCTAGGCCCAAAGCCACTCAGTAAGCCACAGTTGGAACTGGGATTATATCCAGGCCCAGGGGCCTTTTGCTCTGTACTGAGCTCATGTCTTCCCAACTCCAAGAGCCTGTTTTAGGGCTGCCTACTGGGCACCTGGGCCATAAGCCTGGCGTCGCTCACAGAGGGCTCGGCCTCTGAGCCAGGTGGACCAGATTAGAACTCCCGCTCACTTACAATCCGTGTGATCTTGGGCAAACGGCTTCTCGGGACTCCGGTTCCCGACTGCAGAACCGGTGTTGAATCTACAAAGGCAGCCTTGTCCCTGAGGCCCTCCACCCAGTGGAGGAAGAGAGATCTATCTACCAGGCAGGGTCCCAGGAAGCAAATAGCAGGAAGGGTTTACAGGTACCAGGATTTGGGGAGACCCAAGTTTGGAACCAACTGAAGGAGAGCGAGGCAGGAGGTAGATGAATGATGATCAAAAGCCAGGCCTGGCACTACGGGGGTTGCTGAGCCTTCCCCCTGTGTTAACCCATTCACTTGCCTGCGCCCGCTCAGCCGGCAGGCTCCTGACCTGGCAGGAAACGGGCCACAGTGCCCTACCGCTGGAGCCGCGCTGGCTCCCGAAGGGCCAGTGGGGCAGGGCAGAGCTGCACACCCCCAGCGCTTTCCTCTGCAGTTGTGTCCAGCCGTGGCCGTGCCTGAGCATCGCCTGCTAACTTCTTTAAGACCCCAAGGCTCAAGCCCCTTGCTAGACCCCAGAACCACTGAGGGTGGGCCCAGCCTCTATGCCTGAACGAGCTGTCCTGGTGGCTGTGATGCAAGCCTCCCTCTGAGAACCCCCGTAGCGGGCACCTGATACCAGTCGGTGGGTTGGTTGATTCCAATCAATTGTTTGAAATGAATCATTAATTCATCATTGAATTAATTCAATGATTAATTGGATCATTGGATCAATTAATGAATTGATCCAATGATTCAATTGGATCATCGTCTTTGGAAGGCCCCCGGTGCAGCAGCTCCCCGCCAGGCTGCACACGAAACTCCAAAAGCTCAGGACCGGATGTCACACCCAGAAATTCCGATTTTCTTGGCACAGGGTGCCACCTGGGCCGCGAGGGGTTTTGCCGCTCCAGGTGGCCCAGCTGGGCTGCCGGCCCTGAGACCCGCCGCTACGGCATCGAGGCGACGTGCAAGTAGCGTTTGCCTCTCCGCGTGTGTTTGAGTCTCCGGGTGGGACACCCGCCCTGGGACGACTGAGGCCATCGGGGGGGCAGGCTCCCTGGGCTGGTGCTGGGTCTGCTTGGTGTCAGCCCATCACTTCCCAGCGGTGCGGCTAGAGGCTCAGGCCCTCTCACCGAGCCTCAGCTTCCTGGGTGGGCCCGGCCTCGTCGGTTGGGCTGCCGTGAGGGCGCGGGCCGAGGCGGGCTGCAGATGGAGGGCAGGAGAGCCTGCTGGGCTTTAATACTTCAGCCGCTCGCTCCGCACGGTGCATGCTCCCCTGCTATGAGGACCAGCAGACTCGTGTGCGGGCATGGCCAGGGCTGGGTTTAAGGCCCACGTCATGCTGGGAGATGGGCAGCCCGGCGCTGTGCCCGGCATGAGCAAGCTGAGGCTGGGGGACCGAGTGGCCCCCCGAACGCCACATGGCCGGGAAGCCGAGAAGGAGGCGGTTGCCGGGGTGGATGGCACCTCTCTCTGGGGATCACACAGCACTGGGAGCAGCGAGACAAGGGTGGAGACCAGGCCTGGAGGCTCAGAGCCGGCCTCTCCTTGTCCTGGCCACCGTGTCACTGAGCAGGACGGGAGGGCTGGGATCGTTGACTCGCACTGCAGCCGAGAAGGGCCGGGCGGGCAGCAGTGGCAAGGGCCTCTGCTCAGGGCGGGCGTGGGTATGGGTGTGGGTATGGGCCCGGGTAGCTCCCACCAGGCACTGCCCCGGGGCGGTTCAGGGGCTCCCGAGGGAACTGCAGGCTCCCGCTTCCCACTTGGCTCCCTCTCTGCCCCTCCAGCTTGCTACATCTCAGCCTTGGTCCTGTCGTGCTCACTCACCTTCCTCATGCTGATCCGCTCACTGGTGACACACAGGTCAGTGGCAGGCTCCGACCCCCGGGTGCAGATGTGGGGAAGAGCTGCAGGAGGCCTATGGGGCCGGCCCTGGGAATGGAAGAAGGGAGAGTCGCCGTAGGCCCCGCTTGTCCCTGTGTCCCGCCCTGCTGCCCGGGGCCTTCTCGGTGACCAGGGGTGGCGTGTGGACCTTGCCCTCTGAAAAGGGCCCACCTGGGTGGGCTGACTCAATTGGGAAGGCAGCGTGGAAAGCCCGCCCTGCCCTGGGATGGGAAGAGGAGGCAGAGCAGAGGGAGGAAGGGCTGCAGGGCTGCGTAAGGAGCAGCAGCGGGAGCGAGCCTGCCTCGTGCCAGTGTTGGCACTGGTGTCCGCGTGGAGGAGAGCCGGCTGCTGCTGGGCTGCTCTGGGCCGCTGAATGCCACGCTGCCTCGCTTGCGCTTGCCCTTTCGTGGGGAGGGATACGGAGCTGAGTCGTGAGTGCAGAGGCAGGGCAGCTTCTGGTTGGGAGCAGGGTGATGGGAAAGGGGGCAATGTCAGAGGGCACACTGGCCAGGCCTCAGGGTTTTCGCCCAGGGATCTCTCCCCACAGGGTTGGCCCTACCCAGGCTGGCATGGAAGTCCCCCGAGCCTCTGCCTGCCGGGAACCTTGCCTCCTGCCCTGGTGGCCCAACTGCGAGTCCCTTTCCATTCCTACGGTCCTTTCCTCACTTTTCTGACTGGCTCAGGTTGAGCCTTCTGCCTAAATTTGTCTCCCTTGATCCTTGCCTTGCCCCCACCTGGGCACCAAAACTTACTCTTATTCCTCCTTTAAGACTCTACTCAGAGACCACCTCCTTCAGGAAGCCCCACTTGACCACCCAGGCTGGGTTAGTAATCTCCCCCCGGGCTCCTGCAGCCCTTGGCTTTCCTGTCCATGGCCACAGGTTGTAAGTAGACAGGGAGGAATTTAGGGAGTGTGTGTGTGTGTGTGTGTGTGTGTCCTGAGGTCCCTGCCTTCCTCACCCCTGTCCCCCAACCAGGGCCAACCTGCAAGCTCTGCACCGAGGGGCTGCCCTGGACCTGGGCCCCCTGCCCCAGCACTCCCACCCCTCCCGCCAGGCCATAGTGTGTTGGATGAGCTTCAGCGCCTACCACACTGCTTTTACCTGCCTTGGTGAGCTCCCCCTTGCACACCCCAGCTGGCTTCACCTGGCCCCCAAAACTGGCCCCAATTGGGGAGGGGAGAGTGCTCAGCAGGTCTTGGATGCCCCTGGGTGCCGCCTACCTGTGCTGGGGCCAACTCCAGGGTGAGAGCGAGAAGAGGGACCCACCTTCCTTCTCGGCCTCCACTCAGGTTAGGGGAGGGGAGCAGGTGCAGAAGCCCTTGGAGAAAAGATAGCCCTCACCCGAGGATAGCCCCTCAGTGCCACCAGCTTTTTACACGCAGGGTAGACCCAGGGCTGCAAGGTGGGAAGCTCAAGGAGGCCTATTCCTGCTTCTCTAAGGGAGCATTATGCCACCAAGGGCTGCCTTAGAGGTAGTGAAACCCCTATCACCGGGGGTATGAAGGCAGGGTCTGTGGACGTCCCCGGGGCTGTGAAGGGGGTCCTGCCTGAGAGGGTTAGGTTAGGTTGCTTTCCAGGACCCCTCCTAGCTCCGTTTTATTTTATTTTATTTATTTATGACAGACACAGAGAGAGAGAGAGGCAGAGATACAGGTAGAGGGTGAAGCAGGTTCCATGCAGGAAGGCTTACATGGGACTGGATCCCAGGACCCCAGGATCACATCCCGGGCCAAAGATGGCACTAAACCCCTGAGCCCCCGGGGCTGCCCCAGCTCCACGTTTCCGATTCTTCCCCGGGGTGGGGTGGTGAATAAAGGCCTCTGAAGCGAGGGGCTGGGGTCAGTGCTGCAAAAGCAAGGGCCAGACTCCCCTCCTGGGTGGTTCCTTCAGTCCTCACCTCCCTGCGGGAGGAGGAGAATGATGAAGGAGAAGAGGACTTGCTAGCACCAAAACTTGGGATTCCTCATCCCGGTGGACTTTACGCCTCCTGAGCTCTTTTGTCCACGTCACGCCACATAAACAACTAGCCAGTTGCTTCAATAGACAACTTGCCAGCGCCCGCCGTGTGCCAGGCTCTGGCCAGCAGGACCCTGAACGTTCATTCAAAATGCAATCTTGTCCCCAAGGACTCTGGGGCCATTGGGAGGAACATAAGGTTTGCAGAGCACTTTGAGGCTGTCCAAGAGTGGCCACAGACATACTGGATCATCACCATAAGCCTTCTGAGGTAGGGGCCACTACCCCAGGCGACAGAGGAAGAAACCGGAGTTCAGAGAGGCAAAGTAACTCGCTGTGGTTGGCACAGCGAGGCAGTGGCAGAGCAGGGATCGGAAACCAGGCCCGCCCCGTTCCTCAGCCCTTGGGCCCCTGGGATCACCGGGGCGGCCGGGTCGCGCAGAGCCCGACATCTGTCCCTCTGCACCTCGCCATCCTGTAGGGCTCCTGGTACAGCAGATCATCTTCTTCCTGGGGACCACAATCCTTGCCTTCCTGGTGTTCATGCCCGTGCTCCATGGCAGGAACCTCCTGCTCCTCCGACACTTGGAGTCCTCATGGTGAGAGAGGCGAGGAGCTAGAGGCTCTGGGACCACTTCCCAGAGGGCTCCTAATAGTGACATCCTACCCAACCCCCCTGCAGGCCTTTCTGGCTGACCTTGTCCCTGGCTGTGATCCTACAGAACACGGCAGCCCACTGGGTCTTCCTGAAGACTCACCATGGACGCCCAGAGCTTACCAACCGGTGAGCCTCCTGGGCTTGTGGTCCCCTCAGGACCTCAGCCTCTTCTTCGGGGTCTTTTCTTTTGTGTCCTTCTGCCTCCACTGCCATGCCTCCCTTTTCTATCTCAGGGAAGCCCGATGGGGAGTAGGAGAGCTTGTCTTTCCCAAACAGAAAGGGAACAGTGGCCCAGCCTACTCCAGGATACCTCTGTTCACCTATCACAGTGCCAGAAATACTCCTGGAGCCTTTGCTGCTCTGGAGATCAGCACTGCTCTCCCCCCCTGGATCCTCTGTGCCCCCAAAACCATGTGCCTCCCCCCTTCACAGGAAGGAGGTTAATAGAAACATAACTTGCACGTTAGGTGGAAAGGCTGGGGGAGGACCTCAGCACCAGGAGGGACTCAGAGTCAGTAGACAAGGGACTAGGGGAGGGAGGTGGGAGACAGAAAGATCCAGGCCATGAGCCTCAGTTCTGCCGCTGGGTAGCTACGCAGCCTTAGCTAAGCCACCTGATGTCTCCGGGCCTCAGTTTACCCTTCTACAGAAGGGAGTACCACCACCAGTCTCCCATGCTGGTGGGACACAAGCCATATGGGGAGGGCAGGCCCAGCACAGGGCAGGCTGCTTCGACAAACGGTGGCTGGTCCATAAACACTCGGCGGCTGTGCTCATCCAGGTCTGCCCCTGACCCTGAGGAAGGGGCTGGGGGGGGGGGGGTCCAGCCTCAGGCTTTTCTCTCCCCCCACCCCAGGCGAGTGCTCTATGCAGTCACCTTCTTTCTCTTCCCCATCAACGTGCTGGTGGGTGCCATGGTGGTCGCCTGGCGGGTGCTCCTCTCTGCCCTCTACAACGCCATCCACCTTGGCCAGATGGATCTCAGCCTGATGCCACCTAGGGCAGCCGCTCTGGACCCAGGTAGGGTCACCGGGCAGGGCCAGGAGCAGGGTGGCCGGGCCCTGACCTCGTGCACGTGGTAATCCATCCGCAGAGCCAGTCTGTAACCTCGCGCAGTGGTGTGTGTGGGCTCCGTGTGGGCCCTGCTCTGGCTCCTGGGGAAGGGGGCTCCCGGGGAGGGGCTCCGGCAGGTGCACAGGCCACTCGCCGTGCGCGTGTCAGGGGCCGGTGCGGCCCTCCCCCCAGGGCTGCCATCCTCACTCTCCCCAGGCTACTACACATACTGCAGCTTCTTGAAGATTGAGGCCAGCCAGTCACATCCAGCCACCACAGCCTTCTGCACCCTGCTTCTGCGCATGCGGCAACCCAGGCGCCCCCAGGACGGCCTCAGACGGGAGGAGGAAGAAGAAGGTGCACCCTCCCCCTGGGCTATGGGAGTGGAGACCACCCTCTTCTCTGAGGGGAGGCACACATGGTCCCCTCCACGTAGGATGCGTGTGCAACGACAATGGGGGACAGTGGGGCGGGTGCCAGGAACACGCTACCTTCCTCCCTCCCTCCTCCGCTGCCTGGGGGAGAAAGGAAGTGAGGAGTTTCCTGGTCCCTCTCAGGGTCATTTATTTCCACGGTATGGACACGTCTCCTCTCCGCATTCCACAAGCGCGCACACACCCACCCCCTCCTCACACGCAAGATGAGGTGTCTGCCCCCCAACCCCGCTGCCTGGAGAGTATGGAGGAGGCGGGGGGCACTGAGCTGGCTACCCCAGCTCTTCCTCCAGTTCCCCCTCCCCCCGTCTGCCACCTGCAGGATGACCTCCTGAGCCTTTCGGAACCCCCTGGGCCCCAGGCCCCCCGGGACCTTGAGGCGCTCAGGGCTGGTGCAGGGGGCTCGGCTGGGTGCTTGCTGACGGACTCACAGAAAGTCTCTCCCTCTTAGGGATGCAGCTGCTGCAGACTAAGGACCCGGCGGCCAGGGGAGCAGGGCCCAGGGCCCGCCAGGGCAGGGCCCGCTGGGGAGTGGCCTACACGCTGCTGCACAACCCGGCCCTGCAGGCCTTCCGGAAGCCGGCCCTTTCGGGCACCTAGGCCAACGAGTCTGGCCCTGAGGGCGGGGAAGCCACTGCCTCCTGGTGGGTGCTGGGGTGCTTCCCCTCCTCCCAGCCCACGTCCTCCCCAGCCTCCCCAGCATCCTCCCAGCCCCGGGAGCCTCTGCGTAGTGCCCACAGCTCTGCCGCCAGTTCCCCCATCAGCTGCCAGCAGCAGAAGCCAGGGCGCTGGGCTCGGGCGGAGGTCTGTCCGCACCAGGAGCCTTGGGAGGGCTCTGGTTGGACTCTGGTTGGGTCCTGGTTGGGCCCCCGCAGGCTCTGGAAACCTCCTCCGAAGGAAGGAACTGGTGGTTTAGGCCCTTGGTCTGGGGGTCAGTGGAGCTGGGCGGCCGAGTCCAGGCCACTCCTTGTGCTGGCTCTGCACCCGCCTCAGCCCGCCCTGCAACCCTCTCCCGACCGGGCCGGGGGTTCAGGCCAGAACAGCCTCCTGTGCCATCTCAGCCCAGCTCAGCCTCGGATTCACCGCCATGAACCACACAGCGTTTCCCCTGCTGCTCCCCGGGGGGCCTTGGGCCTTCCTGTAAGGCAGCCCCGGAGGAAACCATGGGCTCCCACCCGGCAGCGAAGTCGTGGCACAAACCAGGCCCCACACCCCGCTGGCCACACTTGAGAGCCTGATATGTTTGCAGTTGGTGTGCCTTTAGATATTATGAAAGAGGGTAGTGTGCTCCCTGTAATAAACTTGTCCCTGAGAAACAGTCCTCCTTCGGGGCGGGGCACATGGGGGAAACCGCCCCTATTGCCAGTAAGTCAACACTGCGATTGTGGGGCCTCGGGGGGTTGGGGTATTCTGGTTGCGTGTGGGGCTGGGCACCAGGTACGGGGCCAGGGAGGACCCAGAGCCATATCCCCCTTGGGTGGCAGAGGGACCAGGGACCCTATGATGCCAACCCCGAGCTCTGTGGACATTGACTTTGGAGGTAGGACTTTTTCTGGGTCCTCAAGAATGAGCAGGACTTGGGGAAGAGAGATCTCAGGAAGAAGGGAAGCATTATAATAAAGATGTGGAGGTGGTGGGGAGCACAGCACAGAGCTGTCCCAAAAGGAGTAGGCCCTGTGCATAGCAGGGAAAGGCAGCTGGGAGGAAGGAGGGTCCCTGCCCTTGCTGGGAACTGGTGGAGGTGGAGGATGTATGCCTGAGGGTATAGGGTCCATGGTGGGCCTGGGGGCTACAGAGAGTGGGGAAAGCGTGGCCACTCCACAGACCTGGGTCAGTGGGCTCTTGAGGAATGTCTGCACAATTAGTGGAGAACGATTGCTCTCCTCGCCCACATGGCCTGCATCCCCACTACAGCCGCAAATACCCATGAAGCTAGGGGTGGGGCCAGGGAGCTCACACCCACCTGGGAGGCTGCCCGTGAGGAGGGCAAAGAGGGCAGGCTCTGATCCCACCGCAGTCCATTGAGAAATGCCTTCCTGGCCCTAAGTTGGTGTCCGACAGGGTCACAGGGACGAGAAGACCAACTGGGTCTCTGCCCTTAACAAGGAAACACAATAGAGTGTGATCAGGCTGGGACACTGGACACCCGGGACTGTGTGAGTCAGAGGAGGGGACCTCATCCACATTGGGAGCCAGTGGGTGTGGCATCCAGGAAGGCTTACTGGAGGAGGTGGTACTTGAGCCGACTTAGCCAAGTGAGAAGGAGAGAAAGGGTGTCCAGACCAAAGGAACAACGCAGGGAAAGGTGCGGAGGGGAACACATCACAGACCACTGAGGGAGCAATTAATTAGCGGGTCTGGGAGAGCATGGAGTAGTGGGTGACTGCAGAGAACCAGGCAGGGGCGATGAATGGCAGGCTGGGGGACCTGGGCTTCACCCCGAGGGCTGGGGCGCCACGATGACTTTCAATCAGGGGACTAGGTAGTTCTTTCAGAGCTTGGCTGTTCCCCAGCTGGCCCGACTCGGGTCTTAGGCCCAGGCCCCACTTCCTGAAGACAAGCTGCGTGGGGTGAATGCAGCCAGAGATGTCAGGGGTCCAAGGTGGGTGAGGATGAGGATGTCAAGCCTTAGATAATCAGAGTCAGTCGGACCCTTAAGCATCCCACCAGTCCTTTGTTTTCTGAGGACACTGCAGCCCAGAGATGGACAGCCATTTGGCCAAGGTGGCACAGCACAGGGGACTTGGCTCCCGCCTGCTGCTTCCCACCAGGTGCACAGTCGTCCTTGACCCATGACGTGTGCTGCTGGTGACCTCAGGGGGAGGGGTCTGGGGAGGTGCTGCCTGTGGACCAGGAGGACTGGGAATGGGAGCCAGCCAGCCTCCAAGGCTCACAGTTGCCTCCCAGGCTCCTGGGCATCCCTGCCTCCACTTTGCCGGCCTCAGCGATCCTGAGTGCAGAGCTCGGGAGGCCGCAGAGCCTCCTGCACGGGGGAGGGGCGGGGGGGTCCTGTCCCTCTGTGTAGCACCCTTCGGTCTGGAAAGGGGTGGGGGTGGAGATCCATCTCTGACTCGACACACATCTGGGGATCAGTCTCCAGGTTCTGACTCCATTTCCACGTGCTCCCCACTCTGAGAGACCTGCGGCTTTCTGCTAGGCCCTCACCACCCCCCAAGTCAGTCGCTGATCCACCTGCTGTGTGGGGAAGACTCCCACGTATGACTTTCCTCCAGGAATACCGTTTCTTCTTCCTGGAAAGCTCTACTCATCATCTCCATCATCCCCCTCCAGGACGCTCTCGTCCTCAATCCCTAGGTCTTTCTCTCTCTCCCCTGGCCTGTGTCCCCACCTCCTCCTTTCTCTTTCTTCTCCATCTTGCCTTGTCTGTTCCTCATTTCCTCTCCATTCCCTAACGTCTCTCCCAGGAGCAGGACTGGGAAGAAGGGCCACAATCCGGGTGCTTCCATTCTCCGTGCCCCCCAGACCCGATGTGTCCTTAGGCCACTGCTGGCAGAAAGCACTGCTCGGGGCCAGCAGGACCCTAGGGAAGCTCTGTGATGGTTATCAGGCCCGCACCCCCACTTGTCCCTGGGCCAGTTGAAAGACAGGGAACACCTGCCGCTCCGCTCAGCTTGAGGCCTGGCCCCTGACCCATGGGCTCCCCTCTCTCGTGCTGGCTCCTCACAGTCTGGGTGTACCTCACAGGCCCCTTCGGCATGTTGACGGGCAGGCTGGCCTTCCTGACTCTCCAGTTCCCTATCCTATCCCCAACCGGGGTGATAGGGAGGGGTCCTCGATTCAGACAAAATGCCAGGCAGTCACAAGAGAGCATCAGAAATGCTGTTTATTTCTCGGCCGCCCCGGGCTGGCTAGCCTCTGTGGAGGGGCAGGCTACAGATGCATACTTGGAGAGAGAGGCGGGACAGGTGTCCGGGGTGGAGGGGCACAGAGCGGGAGAAGTTGAAGGCCGTCCTGGATCCTCCAGTCCTGTCTGAGATGAGGGCACAGATTCCCGAGCCCCCAAACCATCAGAGAATGCCAAGAGGCAGCAGGAGCTTAAGCAGGTCACCAAGAGCCCAGAGCCATGCCAGCCACTGCCCCTAGACCCTAGTCCTCTCTCCTACGCCCTGTCTGCTTCGGGCCACCTCCCCGCCAAGTCCCCAGCCCCAGCCCCGGGGCCCCAGCCTTTGCCAGCTTGTCGGTCCCAGCGCCCGGAATTCCATCAGTGAGGCTTCACCCGGTCGGTCGGGCATGGCCCTGCTGGCAGGCCGTCCCGCTCAGGGAGCATGGGCAGTGTGGTTAGCAGCAAACAGCACCGTAGACGGTGAGTACGGAATCAAATTCGGTTCTAGTCACTAGCTTTGAGCAAGTTTAGAAGTTGGGGGTGGTGAGCGTTCCAGGAGAGACGAGAAGGGAGGTAGGAAGACGTGGAGGCCCCCATGCAGGCCTTGGGAGTTGCCATCCTCAGGCCCCTCGGCACAGTGTCCGGGTGGGCGGGGGCGGGAATCAGGGAGGCCCTGGGGTTGCTCCAGCCGGCCCAGGGCAGGGCGGGTGGCGGGAGGCTAGAAGGAAGTGAGGAGGATGAGGAGGAGGCTCTGGCCTAGGAGAAGCAGGCCCGGGGGCTGCTGCCCAGGGACCCCTTCTCCTGCTGCTGCAGCCTCAGGCGCCCTGGCGCGGCTGAGGTAGATGATGACAACGTTGTCCTCCGGGCCTGAGGGCTGCACCTCGTTGTCAACCGTGTAGCAGCCCTTCCCCTTGGCCGCTTTGCCGTGGAACCTGCGCCCCAGCACATCCTCGCCACCCTCGCCCGGTGTGGCCAGGGCCACGTTCACTGAGCTCTCCGCGCTGCCCAGCTCGTTGGTGGCCAGGCAGCTGTAGGTGCCCTCCTCTGGCTTGCCAAAGTCAGGGATGAGCAGGCTGCCGTTGGCAAAGGCCTGGAAGCGCGGCTGGCTGCTGGCTGCAGGGGCGCCGGGCAGGACGCGCCCGTCAGCACCCACGTTGGGGCTGGTGATCTCCACGGTGCCGCCGGGCGTATGGATGTGCCAGTGGAGCTGGGGTGCCGGCTGCCCATCCACGTCGCAGTGCAGGGCCAGCACGAAGCCAGGCCGCAGCTCAGCCCCGTCCTGGCTGGGCTGGTAGGTGAGCTGCACCGAGGGCGCCGAGCAGGGCAGCGGCAGCAGGCGGCTCAGCGGTGTGCCCTTGAGCACGTGGGGCGAGGTGCAAGAGATGTTGTCCTGCTCCGGGATGGACACAGCCGCGGTCAGGGCCCAGGTCTTGAACCACACGATGCCGCAGGTGCAGTCGAAGGGGTTGTCGTTGATCTGCAGGTGGGACAGCGCAGTGAGCGGCGTGAAGATGCCCTCGGCCAGCGTGTGCAGGCGGTTGTGGTTGAGCTGCAGGGAGCGCAGGGCACGCAGGCTGCGGAAGGCGTCCCGGGGGATGAAGGTCAGCTCGTTGCTGTCCATCTTGAGCAACTGGAGGGCACTGAGGTTGTGCAGGTCGCTCCAGGCGAAGTCAGAGAGGAGGTTATGGCTGAGGTCCAGGCTCTTGAGGTGGCCCAGAGGGGCCAGGGCGCCGGCGGCCACCGCGCGGATCTCGTTGTGCGCCAGCCACAGCGACTGCAGCAGGGGCACCTCTCTGAAAGCCCCCTCTGGCAGGCTCTGCAGCCTGTTGGCTGACAGGCTCAGCGTGGTCACATTGGCCGGGAAGCCAGGTGGCACAGCCTCCAGGTCACGGTAGGCGCAATCCGCGATCTGGAAGCCATACTTCTCTCCGCAGTCGCAGGGCTCGGGGCAGGCCCGCGCCAGGCCCAGGAGGAGCGCCCAGCACAGCAGCCTCAGCTCCGGCATCCTACCTCCTGCAGAGAAGGACATGCCGCCAAGGTGACCCGAAGGACCCGTGCAAGGCGCTTGGCCCTCTCGGGACCCCAGCCAGCCAGAGCTCTTCCCCATCGGAAGGCCCTGCCCCCCAGAAATCCAGCTAAGCCCCAACACCACCTAGCCCGCAGGCCATTCTACAGAAGGGGACACCGAGACCCAGAGAAGGGCCAGGACTTGCCCGAGGTCATGCAGCCAGGAGAGGCGAAGATGGACCCCAGCTCCTCCTCCAAGCAGAGAGCTCTCCCTGCCTCGCCCGCTCCCCAGCTCCGAGCTGACTTTATGACTTGAAATCTGCTCTCAGCGGCCCCCTCCCCCAGCACTCCAGGAACCTCCCTCCTGCCCTCCCACATCCTGGCCACGGCCCCTCCCACCAGAGCCCCCCATAGGTATGCTTTGCCCCGGCCCAGACAAGGCCCCTTGTGCAGTGCACGCCGCCCCCATCCACCCCGTCCGCCCCCTCCCGTCCTACAGGCTCTGACCACAGCAGACACCAAACCCTTTCTACGGAGTCAGACCCGTGGCCTGTTCTGTTCAAGCTGCACGGGCAGCTGCCTAAATAAACCCCCGCCAGGACCTCTCCGCTGGCTTGGGCGAGGCCAGTGGCTCAGCCCAAATGCTGTTGGGGTTTCCGGGGATGCGTTTGCTGGCGGGGCAGACGCTCCGTGCACAGATCCAAACAAGGGATCATCCCCAGCACCCCGACCCAACGGGGAAGCACCGGGGCCCAGCAGGCCTCCCGCCTTCCAGCTGGCTTACCTTCAAACTAGTCTTTCCTAGCCAAGTGGACGACTGTCTTCTACGGTGGAACCAAAGAGCACAAAGGACCGAGTTGGCCCCGGGGAGGCCGCAGGGCCACGGGGGCCCGAGGGAGGACAGGAGGCCGCGGCAGGGGCAGCTCGTCCGCCCAAACGTGCCTGCCCTTCCCCAGACAGGGTGCCTGGGGCCTCGCCGAGAGGAGGCTGCAGGAAGGGAGCCCGGACACTCCCTCCTTCTAGCAAAACAACTGCTGCTCTGCAGCAGCGAGGACCCGTGTTTCATAAGTGACACCAGAAACTTGAGAGGGAAAAGATGCCAATTTTTTTTTTCTTTTTTTTCCCTCTCTCTCACTCACTTTTAGCAGCTTCAACTTCCTTAAAGACACAGCACTAGCTGGACAGGACCCAGGAGAGGATGGGGCTAGAAGACTTTTTACGGAGCGAAGCATAAGAATGAATCTCCTGGAAGGCGGGACACAGTGAACCCCACTTTGAATAAGAGAATGAGCGGGGTTGGAGGGGGGTGTCTCGACCAGGCTGGGGCTGGAGAAGTGCTTGTGTAGGCACACGTGTGTGACATTTCTGTGTGGGGGTGAGTTTGTATGTTTGTGCGGAACGGAGGCGTGAGACCATGTGTGTGAATCTGTGTGTTTGGGAAACGTTTGAACGTGTGTTTGCGTAGGCATGAGACTGTGCCTTTGTGCGCCTCTCTGCGTTTGTCCCGGTGTGTGCGAGTCTGTGTGTGGATGGGGGGTGTGTCTGCGTGTAGAGTGTGGGTCTTTGTGTCCACGTGTCTGTGTGGGTGATGGTGTGTCTCAATGAGAAGCTGAGAAGGCCAAAGTGTGTGAAAAACCTGCCAGGCTCCCACACCTCAGTAAGAAGCCAAAATGTTAGTCCCATTTTTGTAAGAAAACACAGCTTCCTTGTCTGTGTCAGGCCTGCCTGCTGGCTCCGAGGAGAGGCTGCTGTAGACACAGGTTGTCCGGGAAGTCCCCGGGCGCCCAGGGGCCAAGCTGGGCTCCCCGCTGTGCCGGGAGGGGCAGGGTCGGGGAAGCAGGCAGAGGGGTGACGAGGCTCCGAACCCTGTGGCCCAAAACTCAGGACAGGGACGGGTCAGCCTCCAGTTTCCCCGGCCAGGAATCTGGGATACCCAGGCTCACAGAGACAGTTCGTTACCCAGGATGGCCCACCTGATAGGCCGGGGTGAGGTTGAGGGTCTCACTTCTTCCAGAATATTCTCTGTGTCCTCCCACGGTGCTTGAAATGCCACCACTGGTGCTGGATGTCTGTGGAGGCGGCTCTGCTCTCTGGGCTCCACTGTCCCAACGCTAGCTGTGTGTGGAAGGGACATATGCCTCCAGGGTGAGGGCATCCGACCTCTTCCTCCAAACAGGAGGGCCCAGAGGAGTGGGAACGGGGAGGAGAAGGCGGCCCAGAACAAGAGAGCCGCAAGAGAAACCAGACGGTGGGAGAGCCCCCGAAAAGCACTTTGTAGACTGGATCCTTTTACCCTCCACACCTTAAGCCTGCTCACGTCCCCTCAGTCCCCTCGTCCCCCAACCTTCCTTTTCCTTCCATCTGTATACCGGACTGAATCCTGCTCAGGACTCCACTTACCGTCCTGGCAGGGCCAAAGACAGTGTCCTCTTTGGTCAAAAGCATCCCCGGGGGAGCCCTCGTCGCAGTTCATCACCACCCTCCCCCATTCCCATCACCAAGTGAGGCTGCAGAAGTCTGGGCAAGGACAGTATACCCCCTGCAAAACCCCGCAGTCTGATCCTGAGAAGGTTCTGGCAGTCTGAGTTCCGTCCCACTGCGGGTGAAGCCTTGTCTGGCATCGTCGTTGTTGTGCTGGGCAAGTGGGGAGAAAGTCCTGAGCTCGGTGGCTCCACTAGAGGCTTGCACACCCAGACTCCATCACACTGCAAAGGAGAACTTGGAAACCTCCATACCAGTCACGGAGGGTTTCCTGGTGGAAGGGGCTTCCCTGTGCTTCTGTGCAGCCCCTACACCACCTGGCTCACGTGAGGGCCGTGCCACCTCCAAGGTGCTCTGAGGAGCTCACGGTCTCCACCTGGCCCAGAGGGTGAAGACCCCTGCTGTGGTGGGCACCTGCCGCCATTTCAGGCTTCCGTCAAACATCTCATCAGAGCAGCGCCTTCTGAGCCCGCCAAAACTAAAGCAGGCTCCCCCATTAATTTTCCTCATGGGCTTCCCTGGTTTTTCTTTTCTTTCTTTTTTCTTTTTTTTCTTTTTTTTTCCTCCCTAGTTTTTCTTGAGAGAGGGAGGCATGTTTTTAGTTTTATTTATTTATCTTTTTAATACTTATCACCATTTCATTTCCCCACTCTCCTTGAGCTGGGTAAATCTCTCAGTATGAGTAAACACATGCGGTCCTCTATCAGCTTTGCCTTGGAGGATCCTCCCTGAGGCCTCTGACCTCTCCTACCCAGTGCACCTGAAGGGTGGCCGGGCCGCAAGCACAGCGGGTGGCCCACCTCCATTGCTCGGGGGTCCAGGGGTCCGTTACTCAGCTTTCGGGGCCTGGACCTCTTGCTTCCTGATCCCACTCTCACTTTGGCAGAACCCACCCTCCAACGCCTTGCAGAAAAGGTGCATGGGAGGGGTGTTGGGAGAGCCGCCTGTCTGGAGACTCTGGTGCCGCCCCTCCCCCCACCCAGGGATAGTTGGGCTGGGGATAGAACTCCAGCTGGAGCTCTGCACCCCAGAACTTTACTGGACGCCCTCCCTTCAAAGCTGGTGCTTTGCTGGTGCTTACAGGGCTGGTGTGGGGGCTGCACAGCTGCTGGGGCATCGATTCTGTGCGGGCCACCTGGGCTTTGTCTTTCTGGCAGCCCGTAGGACCCGCTGTATCTCCGGCTTCTGATAATCCACGGAGCTGTCCTCCAGCTCCGGGAAAGCCTGTGGTTTCCTGACCTCTCCTGTCTCTGCTCTCTCTGGAACCCCAGTTAGCCAGGTGTCATGCTTCCTGGAGGGACCCCTCACTTCCTCGTCTCTCCCCTCCTTCATCACCTCTGTGTATCCTCCTGTCGCTATTTCAGGGAGGTCTCCCCTGTGTCACCATTCCACCCTTCTCATAGAGTGGTACATAAATTTTTGATTTCAGAGATTCCTTTTTATTTGCTGAATGTTCTCTTTAAAACATGCTGTACCTGTTCTTGTTTCAGGGATACTATAGTTTATTTCTGCGAAGATGGTAATAGCTCTCTCTCTTTTTTTCTGTTCAGGCTTCCTTCTGTCTGCACTGCCTGTTTCCTTGTTGGCTGGCTTGTTTGGGACTCTGTCTCTCCTGGGAGAGCTCTCCTCAGTTAATTCACTTGGCAGAAATGTTTTCCCACGTGTTTAATGTGAGAGCCCTCCGCAAGAGAGAAAGCCTGTTGAAGGCAGACGTCTTATCCTCCTGGTTGCTGGTAATCCCGGGGAACAGGGATGTTTAATAACTATTTCTTGACTTGATGAATGGGTGAATGCGGTAGCCATCAAATGCCAGAAATGATACTGTAGAGGTCACTTTCTCTACCTCCTCGTTTTAGGGAGAGGCACTCAGGGTCCAGCCTGGGACAGGGCTGTGCTTAGGGTCACATGGTGCCTTAGGACAGGACATTTTAAGAATATTTCACACATTGTGGGAGAGCCACACTCTTGGGTGGTTGAGTATGTCAGCAGCCTTCCTGAAGGAGGAGAGCCCTTGAACCCCCATTCCCCATCATGAAGGCCTGATGACAGCTGAACACTACTCTGCCCTCAGAACCTCACTGTGGAATGGCCAGGGGGTGCTAAAGGCAGAAAAAGTAACAGGGAGCCGCCTACCCAGGCAGAACTGGGTCCACACACATTGGGCACTGACAGCTCTTGCCCACTGTCCAGGGTGTAGCCATGCCCCACCTCCACCAGGAAGGACAATAGCACAAGGGCAAGGGCCACCATGGCCAAGTGGGCCTTAGCCAAACCCATCTGAGCCTCCAAGGTGCTTCACAGTGGGTCACACAAGAGCACCCCCGTAGACCTGAGGAGTAGTGGTGCAGCTCCCAGTTGTTCATACACCTTCAAGGATGGGGGCTTATTATGTCCTAGGGAGCCCCTTGCATCTCCCCGGGGCTGTCAGAGGCTTAAAGTTCTTCCCGAAAAGCCCATCCCATAGGAGATAACATGATTGATTAGGCAGGAGACAAGCCTGAGGTTGGCTCCCCTACCTCCTCCTGGGCTACCATCTCCCCTGTCCCGGCCTCCTCTGAGCTGGCCTCAGGGACCCAGGCCTGGAGAGCCCTTCTCAGACCCTGCCATCCCTCCACCCCCTGGGTCCTCAGCAGCCCCGCAGCTGTGGAAGGCAGAACTGGGGGGCACAGGTTTGGGAGTCCTTCCTTCCTACTCCAGCCCTGGCTCTTGCAGACCTCACTAGTTATCAGAGAGTGACCAGCTGTCCCAGTTTGCCTAGGATTGAGGTGTGTTCTGCTATGACAGACTCTTGGCACTAAAATCCTGACAGTCCCTGGCATGACTGGTCACCGAGTGGGGGTGGTTCTCACTTGTTCCCACAGGGATTTTCTCTCCTGTGCCCCATTGTGCACCCCGTGCCCTCAGCAGAGGCCAGCCCCTCCTCCTCCCATTTGTCTTCCCCCTCCCAGGGCGCTGCTGCCTCTGCTGTGAGCCAGCATCTCCTCACCCCCAGGAACCCTCGCTCCCGCTTACTAGGGGCTGCTGGCCGGGCCACTCCAGCTTTTCCTGGAAAGTTAAAACAGATCCCAAAGAGACAGAGAAAACAGAGGGAGAAGGACAGAGCCCCGCAGACAGAGGCCTGGAGACACTGAGACGCAGAGGCAGGGGCGAGAAAGCAGAGGTGTGGGCACAGCTAGGGCTGGACCTGAGGCAGGGAGAGGGTGTGAGATGCAGACAGGGGTGGGGAGAGAGGGTGCGGCAGGCCTGGAGCCGGCTCCGGGCTGGAGGGGCCAGTGGGTGCCCGCTGCGCTGGGGGCCGGGGTCAGCACTCTGCCCGGCAGGGCCATGTCCACCCCAGCGGCCCCCCGCCACCCTGCTTAGGTGGGCAGAAGCTCAGCAGCTCCAGGCAGAAGGGGTTGCAGCTCCCCGGGGCTCTCCTGGGAGGGAGAAGCCTTCGCCCTTGACTAGCCGAGGCCGTGGGGGGAAGTCTGCGTGGGCTGTGGGTGCATGGGCATGCGTGTGCTTGCGGAGGGCATTGAGGTCCATCCACACCACCAGCTCACGGGATTCGAGAAAGTCCCTTCCTTTTCTGG